AATTGCCGATGCTGAGATTTCCAGTTCGTGATTTAAAACTCCAGCAGACCTGCGTAGATTAGCAAGTCTGCCTATGAAGTACTGGTTTTCCGTTCCGTGCCCACAAATTTGAGGTTAGGTTATGAAATATCCGAAACAAACGATCCATTAAACGACAAGATGCGTAAAATTACGATCCAAAAAGCGAGTAATGCTAAGGCATTAAATAGCTTTAGTTATTTTACCACAGAGTTGGACGCGAGTTGTACCTCGAGCGCAAATGCTTATTATCATGCTTGCAAACATGATTATGCTTATAACATTGCACAAAGCATCGAAAGTGGACACAAATAACTAGACTAAATGTGTGAGAATAAACACGTACCTGCGCTGCCCTACAAAGACTTCGGGGATCCAAAAACGAAAATATGTAAAGAGAAACAATGCGTGGCAAAATTCTTGTAAAGTCAATAGCTGTTTCTGGAACAATTGACTTGATGATTTCATACATTTCCTTTCTCTCACTTGGAGAAGTATTCATTAACAATTTTTTAAACAATGTAATTTTCTCCCTTGATGTCCATTGGGAAAACTGTCATGAGCATTTAAGCTGCATTAAATTCGCATCAGTTTACATACCCATTTACATATTAGCGTAGTTCGTTCCCTGTTCAGCTATTTTTGTTAGAAATAAATATAAACTTACGTTGAAAGAGACTTCTGGGCGCGAAAGTGGGGTCCAACAACTGTTGATAAGGTTTTCGTATGGATAAACCGAAATGTGATTTTTCCTCATTTTGAAATAATGTAGACGCTTAGGCATGCTATTCTGGCGGGTTAAAACACGGCTGCAATCCCATGCGTTTTTATAAATAAATATTATGAGTAATAAAGCAGCCTATATCCAAAATGTGCATTTTGCGCATAACTACTTTAGTGATGTCATTCGTTTGAATTATTTAACTGCATCTCTCCTAGTAATTTTGAGAACTAAGGTTAAGAACGTAGTGTCTCGAAACTTCCCACTGGATTGAAGAAGATACTAATTGGAGCTTGACCCAAAAGCCAGCTTACGCGTACGATGGCCAGACGAATCTTAATACAACCGCCAGAAATCAGGTGATCCCATAAACAAAGTAGTGCATCACCCCTCTCTTCTTTTGAACAACGTACTCAACGCTCCCTTAGTACACTTCCCGCGCCAGCCGCGCTAATCAACGGCTATTTGGAGAATGAGGAAGGGCACTTGGTCTCCTCGGCCTCTTCATCTGGACCTGAAATCGCGTTCGGTCTGATAACCAGATTCGGAGCCGCATACATCTGTTAACCGTCAAGTGCTTTTAGGATTAGACGGTGGAAATCTGGTCTGAAACAGATGTATTACAGGATTCAGATAAAGTTCCGTAGATAAGAAGAACCGACATCTGTACACGGATGTAGTAGAGAGAATTCCGACACAGAACTTTTCAGATAATTCAAGGCGGTGTCGATTCAGTTGGTAACAGATTGTCTGTGGAAATCTGTGATAAGGTGAAGCCAAGCACTAATATCATTCTCAACTACTTTATTGTAAAAGAATCAGAGATTTCCTTCCCCTTAATCCCGCAGCTTAGGTATATCCCACAAACGGTATATGCTAGGATAGAATTGTCAAAAATGTCGGGTTCGACTTCCTCTACCAACAGTGTAGCTTCTTGAGACTTCCCACTGGATAGAAGAAGAAATTAAGCGAATCTTAATACACTATTCCAGGTTTAACAAAGGAACTATGCCTGAGCATGGATGGAAGGTCACTTCAAGCGTACAAGAGTCAGACGAATCTTAAAGTGACTGTCACTCATAAGGTGCTCACGTAAACAAAGTATTACAAATAGGTCCGTAAAAACCGATATTATTTTGGTCAAAATTCCTTTAATATAAGACCTTTATGCCTACTCCCAGACGCTTGAATATCTAGCTTCATGAGAGGGTTGTTTCGAGCGAGTTTATTAGGCATCCTTTACAGGATAATAAGGCGTTACACCTCATAGGGGATCTCTCGTTCTTCAAGCCAGCCGCATCTTCCTTATAAGAAAGCTTTAACACATTAGTATGTGTATTACAGCAACCCCATTCTTTTGTGGGCTCCTCGATATGGCATGAGAACATGTAGTCCTCATCTTTTGTTTTGCCCACAAACCATTACGAATAAGCACATGGGTATTTGCGGGATGTAACCTTTAATGATTTGTTCAGCTTGAGTAATCACTTGTGTGGCTCTACTTGATCCAATCCTTCGAAGTGGGACGGTAGTCCTTATCCCATTCTGTGGCGATTTGGCATATTTTTACAAATGCTTTGGCATCTTTCCTGCCTAAAAAATTTCGGGATGCTGCACTAGACTGGCACATTCACGCCAAATAAAGTTGTGTATGAAAGTTAACACTGACAGTTAACATTCAAAACAGCTCGGAATTACACGCAGAAGTCCAGTAACTTTGCATTTTGAAGGTAGGACGTATTCCTTCTCCAATATCTCATCTATATCTGATCCTACCAGCCGCCAAAGAGTAACAGATTCATCAGTGGAATTTAAACTCTGTGGATGGATTGCCATGCCACTCGCGCACTATAAATGAAGCACTCAAATGTCAAACGCAAAAGAAGCAGTGGCTTAAATATGGTGAATTTTAACTAAAATCCTCTTCTTAAATCATTTACTATGTATGGAATAGATTCTAAAATGTACAAAACCTCGCTTCAATGCTTCACTCGTCATAGTTGAGGTGCATATCTCAGCTTACACTAGAAGCGACTAGTCCTAACTGTTCCTATTTGCCTTCTTTACAATTCACCTATAAAACTCTCGCAAATACAGAATTGACGAAATGCTTTGATAAAGGTTCCAAAGATAGGAAGTGCAGACTGTGATGTAGGAGATGCTGACAGACACCATGCAGAATGTGCCAAATCCCTCTAGTAGTCAAGACACCGGAAGCTGAAGAGGCCATTCTGATAATAACACCACCCATTGTCACTGAAACGGTCATCATGATCTCCGAACTAACTAGCCTCGGCAACAAGCGCCGATGGTCCCTTTATCGACACCCCAGACACGCTTAAGGAGCAAGCGCTTGGAAGTGTGAGCTAAAACTTAATGCGAAAAATTCTGCGACTATACGACCAATGCATATCCTGCTGCTGTTAGTAAGCCCGAAGCGCATTGAACTCTCCCACCAAAAATGCAGTAGAGACAAATTCCGATTTAGTGAGATCCTCTGTAGCCACCAATCTGGTAAAGGATGAAAAGCTACTACTTCGAAAATCATCATCTACACCAAGCTCCATACAAATCATCATAAAGCGGCTTGCTCGCATAAACAACGCTCATGTTACGGGCCCACAAGTCCCGCCCACTCATACAAGCAGTGAAATTCAATAAGGAACTGCACTAGCACAAAGGATGCACCCGGAACACGAAGACAGCAACGTATATACAGGGGAAAATGTACAGTGGTTGCAAGAAAAATACCAGTGCTAATGTTCCCGAGTATACTTCTCCAAAAGTGAAGCAGAACGCGGTGGAGTGGGGGAGCCGCAACCCATTGCCGGCGCACGCTGCCGAACCCGTAAGGCCAAGGTTTCGTGATAATTGAGACTTGATGATGTCGATGTTGAAGAGACACCGCTATCACCAGAACTGCCCGTAAATTTGCACGAACGTACACTTGCTAAACCAAAGAATTGCTCAGTTACGATACAGTCCTGAGTGGAGGATTCAACAATGCATAGAAAGCAGCACACCTTGTTTCACTAGATCAGCAAGATACCGTGGCAAGATCGCACAGGGTTTTGGAGTACCAATGTATGCAGACGGTGATAAAGACGTACCATTCACTTGCTTAAGCATATGTGTTTCACCCAAAATGTTTCTTGACTGAGAAGTAGCAAGATGACTCTCCGGTTGAACTTGGTTCGATGCTTCTGATAGCGAGTTTGGTAAATCCTTGACAAAATGCTCTGAACTAGCTGGGATCTGCCCCTGGTTTGCATCAGCTGGTGCTACACTCGCAAGTGAGTGGAGCAAACCGCTATAAGAATCAAAAGGATAGAGACATGAAGGATTGGAACATAATCCTGAAAGTGTTCCAGAGGAAAGTGACACACTATACAACGGAGATATGGTACCGGACCTGCGACACATTGGGCAAACGTTCTCCATGAAGCCTAAAATAGACACGACCACAAGTACAAACCCGGCGCCACTGAGGATGATCAGATCAAACACTAATTAATATTCTCTTTAAATATTCTTATTATTAGCCATAAATATACTGCACAAGACAAGGCCAATCATACAGCTGTAGTAAGCGGATGGCAATCATCCCATTTTACAATAAGGGCCGCTACATAAGTCAAAAGGGTTTTTTT